AAACCTATCTTTAAACTTATGAATTTATGTATACATATGCATGTCGATAAGAAATAAGATGGAAATTCTAGTAAAATGAATCCGAAATTGTGTAAGTAAAAATGAAAAAGTATGTTTGCTGTGGTTTGAAAGAAAAAGTATGGAATGACGATTTATTATGTTCAGTAAAAACGTAATGTAATCTAACAGAAGCTAAATAAGTTATAGTATTAAAGTTTAAGTATCAAATATGTAAAAAAAATAAAAACAAAAATTATTAAAAACAAGAAACCCAAACTGTTTTTTAAGTAGCGAAACAACTGAAAAGAAGATGAAATTTTGAAAGAAAAATTCAAAATGTAACGAGATCAAATATCAATAATCCACATATTTACAAAAGTATATACGCAAATATATTAGCAAAAATAATAGTTAATTAAGTAATTACGCGCTGATTTCTACTTTTCTGGGCGAAACTAAAAAAAAATACAACAAAAGCTGTTGTTTAAAGAAATAAGTACGGTTTTTTTCTGCTCTTGTAAATTTTACGAGCAGTTGAAACAAAAATAATGAAATGCAATCGCAGAAAAAATTTAAGCAAAATAGCGAAATTGTGTATAAAAAGTTTAGCGGTTAAATGTTTTGAAAAGATGTCGCGTTGCCAATTGTCACGATTATTTGTAAAACCCTTAAGATATGTTAATGGGTACATATTTGAAAAAATGTAATTTATAAACTAACTTAATTCATAGCGATAAAATTAATGCGTAAAGCAAACAATTTTATTGAAATGCAACTACTTCTGTAAGATTAAACAAAAAAATATATAACAGTTAAAAAGGTATATGAACATAAAATAAATGAAATACGAGTACCAAAGCAAATTACTATCAAAAAAGTTTTGTTTTATTTAGCTTTTAGCTTTAATGAAACGGTGCTTTTCCCAAAATAAATAAATCTGAGTCGAACCTGGTAAAAACGAATAAAATTCACACTTACATTTTTAACGCTAAGCAGATACTTCTTCGAAGAGCTGCATACATGAACACTAACCCCATTTGGCTCTCACAAAAGACCTAGTCTATCCTGCATGGGCACTAGGGGTTTTTTTTTTTAAACCGGTCTTCAATATTTGAAAATTTGAAATTTAGAAAAAAACTGTTTACCCATTTTCAAATTAAAAAAAAAAACGGTTAAACCGGTTTTATTTTACATATTCAGGCTTATCATGAGTTTCTTTTCCCCGAACCGGTTCACTTTTCACTTTTGGTTTCCATGGTTTCACTATGGGAGGATGACAAATTTTCGGGCGAACTTTTTTCAGGTGAAACTCAGGATATTGCAGAATAATAGCTTGGCGCTTACACATACATACATATGTTAGTGTTTGGCCGAGCTTCGCCTCCGATTTGTGGGGTGCGCCTTGATGTCGTCACACAAAGGGGGCGGACCGAACTATTCCGAACGGCGATTGTATTTTTATGAGAAGCTATTTTTCATGTCAGAAATACACTCGGAGGTTTGGCATTGCCTGCCGAGGGGTGACCGTTGGTAAGATCATGAAACAATAGTGGTATTCACCAAAGTGAGCAAGTGGCCTGGCTGTCTGGCAAAATAGTAGATTAGCTCAAGCAATGACTGCTATCATTGAAATTAAAAAGGCAAAAGACTACGCACAATTGAGTCATTCAGAGTCATACCAGAGTCATGTCGGTGTAATTAACACATATTTATTTTCGCTTACACATCCAAACCGACTCGCGAGTCAAACGCACCGTGTATGCCATGCCGCCTATTAAAGATTTTCGTTCGGTATTCCTTAATTTTATGGTACAGAGCTACATAAAGTACCATCAAATTAAGGAATAAGCTACATTTACATTAGCCTTCATCGATTCGCCAACAGTTAGCGAAAAATCGGTTAAATATAAGATAAATCTATTAAATATTAGTGAAATCGAGAGCATTATTTGGGATCCGGAAGTTAGTTATTATTGCCAACAAACTTATAGCATATGGCTTCGCCCAATCAACGCTGATCAAATTTGCAAAAAAAAAAGTGTCTGGCAACGCGACCAACAGCTGTTAGCCTGCTGCACTTCCGTTGTTCTCGTTTTGTTTACATCACCCCTTTAGGCCCACTTGCCCCGGCCGCACATTCAATGCACTCGGTGAAAGCAATCAAATTTAGCAAGAAAAATGTTCTATCGCTACCAAAACAGGTATACATACATACCTGCTGGAATTGTGAAATTATTGAGAACCACAAAATAATACGCACTTGCCAGAGAAGTTGCAGTTTGCTGTCGACAAACGAATGAACACACACGAAAGTTGTCGCAACAAGACAAATTGCAATGCTACAGTCCTTCAAGCAGTTATTTCGGCAAACGGAGAGTGCCAGTAATGATGACAATGATGCAGAATTATATCAAATATGGCCAAAACGGGCGTCAGTTTTAGAGTTTAGTGCTTTCGGAAAAGAATTGCTGCAGAAAAGTGTCACTGTACCGAAGCCAGATGCAAATAAAATCACCATCAAAAGTTTTATGGAAACATCGGCGGAATTTCCATTGAAGGTATTAATTGTGTATACTTGTATGCGGCTTTGAATTTCAGTTATACATACATATGTATGTAAAGTGTATTAAATATTGGATAATTTGGCATTCCTTTGCAGTTCGGCACAGATACATGTCGAGTGATGAATCAGCCAGAAGAGCGTTATCCAGCGATAGCTAAGCAAATTGCTTCTGCCTACCCGGTAATACATGAGCGTGTGTTGTGGTTGTATCTGGCATTCTTGGAACACAAATGCAAATACGGTGCGTTGTTAGAAATACATATTAAATAAATATGTGGACATAACGATAGAGAGAATCATATTACGAATATCCATACATATCTATCAAAATGGTTTTTGTATGTCATTGGCTTGAGTAAAATTTAACGACGAATTTGCTTTCCCACAGGTACCAATATCGAACGCGCCTTGTATCATGGCATGTCCCTGACAGCTTTCGTGCAGCGTTTGCTGGAGAAACGCTGTGCCTCATTTGTAGGTCCGTTGGATCATTATCTATTAATTAATGGTAAAACTGGCTTAGGCAAATTTTATGACGTAGGCACCATCAATGAAGAGGCGCCATTTCTACTAAAATATGTGCTGAGCTATGATGAAATGAAGGTGAGAGAAGGGGAAAAGGCTATATATCGTTACCGTAATACAGAAAGGCCATATCTAACATTATTGTGTCTTTACAGAATAGTCACAAAACTATATAAAAACTAAAGTTCTTAAGTTGGAAGTTCTGGAATTTCTTCGAAACTGAAAGTAATTTATTAATATAGTAATTATTTTTAAATTCCATTAGGCTTTTAATGACTAATCTAACGACCTTTGTACAAATCTGAATTTCGAAAGAAAATGAGTTAGGGCCTTTCTATTTTATCGTAACGATATAGAATGTAGAGTCCGACTGATTCCCAATTTTTGGCCGATGTCGATTAATCGTTCGGACTTTAACAGAATGAAGTATGTATAAATTTCAATTATATAGGTTTGTAATACACTTTTTTAATTCTTGACCTTTAGCTTTCCGCTTTCCTATCAGTCTCTTCATTTACCGAATTTCTAAACGATGGAAACCGCAAAAATGCTGGCGTCATTGAGGAAGATAAATCGAAAATCGAACGCGACGGTGTTATTGTCGGCATAATTGGTGCACGCTTCCAAGCTCGCGAAGCAATGGATTGGCAGGACATTATTATCACCAGCGAACAAAATCGTAAAGAGCGTGGTTATGGTTATACGCCGCAGCAAGCCATGCTTTCCACAAATCCCGTTGTTGATTATCGCCGTATGTGGTCGCATTTTTATGAACAGCAAGATTTATTATATAGCAACATTAGTGGTCGAGAGTCCGCGCGTTTCTACAAAATTCCGAATACAGCATTCATTTTCGACAATCTCATGATGAAGAAACGCAATGCAATATCCTTTGATACACTACTTTTGGAGGCGAATGCACGCGGCGTTGCCGCTAACAAGCAAGTTTATTTACATGTGGTTGGCATTGGCTTGGGGGCTTGGCGCGCCGTGCAGCATCAGGATAAAATATTCTTGGAAACTTTTGGTGAACGTTTACAAGAGCTACTGTCAAGCTTATCACACATATCTGTTGTGCACTTTTCCTACTTTGGCATGTCCTCCTGGGCTCAGCTTGAGGATGGTGGTGTCATTGCTTCGCCAAAGCATCCCTCTGGCGGCATAAAAATTTTTCTTAGCAACAGAAATCCTGCACAGAAATTAGTGAGTTGGCGAACAATGGATAATTGGTTCTTTAAGTTGTTATAATACTTGAAAACATGTTTGTCTTTTTAGGCACCCGAATTCGAGAATATGCTGGTTGTGGAGTCGTATGCTTGGGATGGCAATGCTTTGCCAGGCAATGAATTCTGGCTTGTAAGTATATAGAGTTTGTTATAATTGATTGAGAATAAATACTACATATTTTATGTTCTTTCCTTTTTTAGGGTTCGCTTACCTCTTCCGGCGACCCTGCTGCCGCATGCAGTACACTCATCACAGAGCTACATAACCCACATATCAATACAAGTATGGTAAATGGCGCAAATGTGCATGTGGCAACAGAACTTTACGGTGTTTTGCATATCTCTGAGTATGCGAAGAAAATGTGTACCTAAAAATTTTTTTAAGCAACAATCCATACTAAAATGTGCTTCCTTGTTGGCAATATGTGTTCGTTAAAATTTCTTATAACGGCTTGATCGTAAAATATAAAAGTATGTACATATGTATGTATGCCTTTCTTCAAATATATTTATTTAAATAAAAGGTTTGTGACATTCATTGCGAAAAATTTGTAATAAATGAGAAAAAACTAATTTATGCCATATGCCAAAAATATTCAGTTAATGGGGCCGTATGAATAAAAACTAAGCAATGAAGTTTAAACAAAAGCTAATGCTTATTTTTTATTAATATGGCCCAATAAAATAAAAGTAAAATTTACAACGGAAACAATTTAATTTATCCGATTAGAAGAAATCGTTTTCCGCTTAGCGAATCCCACAAAAAATATGTAGTTGGCAACGCGAAGTTGGCAATCAGCTGTTCTCTTGGCCAATTGTTTACATTTCATTTACCTTTTTGTTTATAAAGATTTTGTATAACGCGTAAAAATACCAAAATACAAGCTAATGGGTTGCAAAGCACGATTCCAGGTAAACTCTGTATATTCTCTGAAGATATATATATAAATATACACATATGGCTGTATGTAGTTCCAGTGCTGCGCGTGAGCATATGGAAACGCTTCCAACAAACGCGTCAGCAACAGAGCAATTTAGTGTTTGCATTACCTATGCAAATCAAACACAAAATGCTGTCCAATATCATCGAAAAAATCTTTAAACCAAAGAAAAGTAATTTCAATGAAGAAGCACTGAATCAGATTTGGCCTCCTAAGGGCACAGGTTTGTCAATCACCGAATTTGGCAAAGAATTATTGCAGAAATGTACTATAGTACCAAAACCTGACGCGAGTGAAGTGAAGATAGCAGATTTCATTGAGCAATCGTTACGTTTTCCATTGAAGGTACGGATAGAAGTGTTACTAATAAGATGGTGTATTATGGCGTACGCGCTTAATTGAATTTAAATTTTTCAACAGTTTGGCAGGGATACATGCCGCGTAATGAGTCAGCCAAAAGAACGCTATCCAGAAATTGAAAAACAAATCGTCTCTGCATATCCGGTAATCCATGAACGTGTTTTGGGCTTATATTTGGCTTTCTTGGAACACAAATGCAAATATGGTGCGTGTTTAGCTTTATATACATTCCAAACCAAAAATTACCGTGGCGCGTGTAAGTAGACACTCCCTATATTAGTAGCTTTAAAAGCGCTGGCTGCTTTTACACAGATACATATTAATTAAATAAATAATACTTTATAGTGGGTGTTAAAAAGTTACCTGCCGTCGCCGACCGATATCGCACTTCCGTTGCCGTAGGAGTATACTTTCACAGCGAGGATTTTCATTTTATACACACCAACACATCTTATAATTTAATAAAAAAAAACACCTTTGCTTGTCTACTCCTGCATAGTTTTTATTTTACTTTCTAGGAAACGATTTAGAACGTGTCATTTATAATGACATGACCGTTACTGGACTCGTTCAGAGATTACTCGAAAAACGCTGTGCTGCTTTTGTGGGTCCGCTCGATGACTATGTGTTACTTAAGGGCAGAAAAACTATGGCAAATTTTTTCGATGTAGGCACAGCCGATGAGAAAGCACCATTGGTGTTAAAAGATGTGCTGAGTTATGATGAGATCAAGGTAAGAGTACAGCAAAAGATAAGTATATAATAGTTAATATTTAATACCAAAAAACTCCCATACTTAATATGTAGCTCTCTGCCTTTCTTTCGGTTTCATCACACACCGAGTTTCTCAATAACGGCAGACGCTTCAACTGTGGTATCATAGAAGTGGATAAATCAAAAATTGAGATCGAAGGTGTTATAATCGGTATAATTGGTGGCCGCTTCGAAGCGGAGGATGTAATGGAGTGGCAGGATATTATGATCACTTCAATGCAAAACACAAAGGAGCGAGGCTATGGTTTTACCGCGAAAACAGCAAAGAAGGTAAAGAAACGCTCTGTTGACTATCGTCAATTGTGGACGCGCTTTTATGAACAGCAAGATCTAATCTATGATAAAGTGGAAAATGTTGTTTCACCACGTTTCTATAAAGATCCACAAACGCGTAACATTTTCGACAATTTGATAATGAAGAAGCGGTATTCCATCACTTTTGATACATTATTACTAGAAGCGAATGCACGCGGCGCTGCTGCCGCCAAGCAAGTGTACTTGCATGTTGTTGGTATTGGATTGGGCGCTTGGCGTGTGGTACAGCACCAAGACAAAATATTTTTAAAAACATTTAGCGAGCGCTTGCAAGTGCTTTTGCCGTGTTTGGCGAATATTTCAGTGGTGCACTTCTCGAATTTTAGATCTTCTGCTGCGAAGAATCACATAAGCGACGGTGCAGTGCTTGGATCGGAAACACAGCCTAGCGTCAGTATTAAGACTTTTCTACACGAGCGTTATCCGGCGGAAAAATTGGTAAGATATTTCATTGGGTGAGAATTTTTCTTTTAAGGTCAGTTGTCATTTAAATTTCCCAGCCATCAGAGTACGAAAATATGCTAATCGTGGAATCGTACGCCGGGGATGGTAATGCATTGCCGGGCAATGAATTTTGGAAGGTGTGCTAAGCTACAAAAAAAGTTTTTTTGGACTCAATGCTAAGCACATGCATTTTACTTGCAGGGCTGGCTTACGAGCTCTGGGGATCCTGCTGCCGCTTGCAGCACACTTATTTCGGAGCTTCATAACCCGCATATTAACACAAAAATGGTGAATGGCGAAAATTTGCATATAGCTTCGGATCGCTTCGGTGTTTTACACATTGCCGAATACTGCAAAGAAATTTTGCATTAGAAAATTAACTGCATACAAAAATTATTGGATTTTTTATATCTCGCACCTTTTTTATAGTAGACTTAAATGGACAAATAAACCTTTAGATATTGAACTTTTATACACACATTTTACTTAGTTTGATATTACACATTTCACTACCGACGCGTTGGCGACCAACGCAGTTGTCGGTTGTATTTAGCATAAGGCGCTAATTTTTTCTATATTTTAGATTTTCTCACTTAAGCACAAATAAATTTGCGGGCTTTGAACTTTTACACATTGAAACACACTTTAAAACACACTTTAAATCTATATTTATTAATTTGCACATTTCACTGCCGACGCGGTTAGCTCGAACGCAAAATCACATTTGGCGGGTAACGTTTTGCATATGGCGGTAATTTTTTGGCTGTTTGACGTTTTCTCACTACATACACATATACGATATGCATTTGCGTTTGGCAGCGCGCTAATAGTTATTTAAGGAAAACTTGTTTGAACTAATGTGCGAATGTGTTACAAGTAGACAATTAATTTTTATGCGTGAATACTTTTTAATAAATTTTGCGTAACAGTTTTTCAGAACCGGAAAATAAAGAGCACTTATTCGTAGTCTTCCGGCTGTCGACTAGTTAACAATTTTCCAAATTGTTGGCAACGCTATTTGTCAGCTGTTGTAAACTTGCTGAATTGTTTTTGTTTCCTTTCGTGAATTTCAGCCAAACAACAGGTGCTTGGCCATCAATCCCCATTGGAATTGAGAGTGAAAGAAAATAAAAAAAAAAGAAAAATAACTTTTCATGATTTGTACACTAAAAGGTTCTCGGGATTGAAATATTTTTCTTACAGGGCTACGAAGATGTAATCAAAATAGAGGAATTAACAAGATACGTGTACTTAAGCAAACGAACAAATTCCACCGGGTATGTCCCATTGTGAAATGAGATTTGCAATCACGAAATGCAATAAATTGCAATGCGAGATCATGGAAAGGGTTCACTTCAAAGCAAAGCTGCAAGAGTGCATATTAGTAAGCGTTGGCAATAAACAACAACAAAAATGTGGTCAACTATGAAAAGATTTCTCTTGCAATTATTTACTCCTGACGATAGGAATTCAGCAGTACTTGGTGCAGAAGATAATAAAATATGGCCACCTATTCATCCATTTATTAAATTTACCGACTTTGGCAAAGAATTGTTGTACAATTGCACCAAAGTGGTTAAACCGGATATGAGCGAGATTGACATTGAAAAATTTATGGAAAATTCATGCAGCTTTTCTGTAGAGGTGAGTGTGTTCTTGTTGTATGGCCGCATTTGCAAAGGTAAATTGGCCTTTTTATTATACTTCCAGTTTGGCACCGATACATGTCGGGTGATGAGCCAACCTACGGAACGTTATCCAGTTATTACGCAACAAATCGCTTCGGCATATCCCATAATACATGAACGAGTTTTATATTTGTATCTGGCATTCCTGGAGCACAAGTTGAAATACGGTATTTTGTGAATTAGTTGTAATATTTAATTTTACAGACTATAACGAACCCCCTTCACCCCTTATGCTTTACAGGAAATCAAATAGAACGTGCCATTTACACAAGCATGACACTAACCGCATTTGTACAAAGGCTGCTAGAGAAGCGTTGTGCATCATTTTATGGTTGTATAGACAAGTATCTTCTAGTCACTGGAGAAAAAGGCTATGGCGGATTTTGTGAAGTCGGTACTAGCGCCGAAAAAGCGCCGTTGCTGCTAAAGGATGTATTAAGCTATGATGAAATTAAGGTAAAAGTATAAAAATGCGTTTTATGGGTCGATTATGAATAGCAACCCAACCTCAGTTGAGGTATCAGCAACCAAGATTTGAGTGTAAATAAGCCATGGAAACAGTTAAAAAAATGAATATATTTTCACAATCAAAATATGCGCGGCAACTACAAAAATGCAGTTGCTAATATAGCAACTCAGTTGCCAGCTTTCAGTTGCCAGTTGCCACCTATAACTCAATTTCAGCCACTGGCAACGCAACTGAAGTTCGGTTGCCATCCGTAATTGTCCCATTAATCACTGCCTTGATAAAATTTGTACTTAATTATTCTCAGCTTACCGCTTTATTATCAATCTCTTCTCATACGGAATTCATAAATGATGGCAATCGTTACAACGAAGGCATCGTCGAAGAAGACAAATCAAAAATCGAGCCTACAGGTGTCGTTATTGGTCTGATAGGCGGGCGCTTTCAAGTAAAGGATGCAATGGAATGGCAAGATATAATGATTACTGCCTCGCAGAATACTAGAGAGAATGGTTATGGATATACGCCACAAGAGTCAAAGGTTGGAAACTGTAGCAACGTTAGTTATCGTCAGATGTGGACACAATTCTATGAAGAGCAGGATTTAATTTATGAAAACGTTAAAACACTGAATTCGAAACGCTTCTTCAAAGGGCCGGATACTAGATTTATTTTCGATAACCTAATGATGAAGAAGCGCTATGCTATCTCTTTTGATACACTGCTGCTGGAAGCAGAAGCGCGTGGCGCTGCTGCTAACAAGCAAATGTATGTACATGTGGTTGGCATAGGGTTGGGCTCGTGGAGAGCTGTGCCTCAGCAAGAAAAAATATTTTTAGAGACCTTCGCTGAACGTCTGCAAGAGCTACTAGCGCAACTAGCACACATTTCCGTTGTGCACTTCTCATATTTCTCTATGGCCGCGTGGGCGAATTTTCAGGATGGCGGAGTAATTAAATCGCAAACTCATCCAGGAGGAGGTGTTAAAATTTTCATGCACAATCGTAATCCCGCACAGAAGTTGGTAAGCGATGTATTGAATTTTTTACGTGGTTACATACTTATGTATGTATGTACATACATATATATGCATTTATGTATGCATGTATATATGCATGTACATACATATCGACACCTGAAATTCAAAAGGTCGTAATAAAGAAATTTTTTTGTTAAAATGAGTGGCGACTTGCAATTCGATGAAATGTATCATTATCAATCAATTGTAAGTTACGGCATTTGGCATTTCAGGAGACCATATATATGCATATCGTTAAGTTTTGTTTCCAATCAGGCACCTGAATTCGCAAATATGCTGATAGTAGAGTCCTATGCTTGGGCCGGCAATGCACTTCCCGGAAACGATTTTTGGCTTGTAAGTTAAAAAAAAACTTTGCGTTTTATTTCGAATTACTTACCATGCTAAACTTTACATTTAACTAGGGTGCACTGGCTTCTTCCGGTGATCCCGCTGCTGCTTGTAGCACTCTCATTTCCGAATTGCATAATCCGCATATTAATACAAAAATGGTGAATGGTGATAATTTACATGTGGCTTCGAGTCGCTTTGGCGTTTTGCATATTGCAGAGTATGCAAAGAAGATTTTAGACCATGATGGTCAAATATTAAATTAAATACGTTTTTATACCAGAACTAACTTTTTTACATAAACTTTTTTAAAGGACTTTTAAAAATTGCAGTTTGTATTTACATAAGTATTTCCCAGTCCTGACAGCTCATTCCAGGTATGGTTCAGTGTCTAAAGCAATGAGCTTTCACAAAAAAAACCTGTTTCATGCTCTTCTCAACTTTGAGGAAATGCTTATTCCAATAAAATCACATTCCTAAGATCGGGTTTGGCCGGTAACATATACATGTATGTACATATGTATATATGTACCGGAAATTGTAAAAAAAAAACTACGCAAGCTTTCGCATCAATCGACATTTTCTATGGTTGGCAACGCGGCAAATCAGCTGGGTTTTTGTCAGCCATATGCATTCGATTGTAAATTTCGGCAGCCGGTTGCATCTTGCATTTCCTATCTCATCATTACGCTGTCCACTTCTTCCGTAAAAACAACATCGAAACAAATAAACAAAAGAGTGCGTAGTGTAAAGCAAGAAAGGTAATGAAAAGGTTTTTCCCATTGTGAAATGGCGAGTAGAATTGGAGTTTTGCGTTGCGACGAGCAATAAATTAGGGCACAAGTGCTGAAAATGCTCAGTTGGATTACGAGCATAATTGTAGCCAGACGTACTAAAAGCTAAAAAGTACAAAATTAGTTCTCGTAAATAAACACCGCGGTCCACCGTTGTGAAATAAAAACGGAAGTGCTACGAAAAATTACTATCGCACAAACATTTTTTTGTCAAACACGAAATTCAAGAGTCGAACGGAAACTTCTACAAGGCAAAGCTAATTTGACTTCACATCCAAAAGAAAAAATTTAAAACTCGGCGAAAATGTCCACTTTTGGCGCAGAGTTCGAACAAATTTGGCCGAAAGCCGGCTCAGCTATAAAAATAACTGAATTCGGCAAAAAATTATTGCACAAATGCTTAGGAGTGGAGAAGCCAGACAGGAGTCATATCGATATTAAAAGTTTTATCAAAAAATCATCCAACTTTCCTGTAGAGGTGAGTAATGCATGCAAAACAAACATTTCCATGCAAATAATAAATACGTTTTCTTTTTTCCATCTCAGTTCGGCACCAATACTTGTCGCGTTATCAGTCAGCCCAAAGAGCGTTATCCGGAAATTCAGAAACAAATCGAATCTGCGTATCCGATAATACACGAACGCGTTTTGGGCTTATATCTGGCATTCTTGGAGCACAAATGCAAATATGGTTGGTAAATTAGGTATTGCGATTAGCATTTCACAATGCAATGTAAATGAGAGACCCATAACAAAAGTGATTGGTGATTTCTTGTTTTAGCTTTTACCTTTTCCAAGCATGTTTCGCTTTTTTATTGATTTATTTTAGTTGTTTTTGAAGTAGTTAGCTTGTCATTAAAATTTCCTTTGTTGTTGATTTGCAAAAAAATGCAGTTACTGCAAAAGATCGAATTTTAATCTAAATTTAAATTAGAACCTTGTACACAAATTAGCCAGTTTTTATATATTAAAAACTTAAAATGTGTAGTGATCAAGTTTTAGTTAAACAAGTAAAACAATCCAAAAAATATTCTAAAGAATGAAACGAAAATTCCAGGCAATAAACGCGAACTTGAACTCTATCAAAACTTGTCACTCACCGATTTTGTTCAACGCCTGCTGGCCAAGCGCTGTGTTAGTTTCTTTGGTAAAAACGATAAATATCTTTTATTATCGCGACATCGCGGTTGTAGTGGATTCTTGGATATAGGCACCGATGCAGAAAAGCCACCGCTATTGTTGCAAGATGTACTCAGCTATGATGAGATTAAGGTGAGTGAAAGCAACAAACCCATCATTCCACAATCGTCACATATATTTCTTTCTTCCACAGCTCTCCGCTTTACTTTCTGTCTCCTCACATACGGAATTTCTCAACGACGGCAACCGTCAAAATTGTGGGGTCATTGAACTCAATAAATCACGCATCGAAACAGATGGCGTCGTCATTGGTCTGATTGGCGCACGATTAGTACGACGCGATGTAATGGAATTTCAGGATATCATAATTGCCAGCAAGCAAAATACCAAAGAAAATGGTTACGGCTTACCGACCGATGCTGAAGCAAATACGCGCTCAGCTGATTATCGACGCTTATGGAAGCAGTTCTATGAAGAGCGAGATCACCTATACGAGCAAGTAAAAGTGGACGGCAAACGTTTTGGCAATGCACGCGCAAAGAACGACATATTTGATAATTTGCTTATGAAGAAGCGCTATACCATCTCTTTTGATACGCTGTTGTTGGAGAGTGAAGCGCGTGCTGCCGCGGCAGGCAAGCAAGCTTTTCTGCATGTGGTGGGCATAGGCTTGGGCGTGTGGCGTGCAGCTGAGCACCAGGAGAAAATCTTTTTGGAGACATTTGCGCAGCGGCTGAAAGTGTTGTTGCCAAAATTGCCGCATGTGAGCGTGGTGCACTTCTCTTGGTTTCAGCTGAGTGAGTGGGGTGATTTGAAAAATGGTGGCATGTACAAATCGGAAACACATCCCGATGGCGGTATAAGGACTTTCTTGTCAAAACGTAATCCGGCCGATAAGCTGGTGAGCGTAAAGGGGGTAATACAATTTTTCATTGTTAGCTTTATTGTCAAGGGGAGGTGAGCGGAAGTAGATTTTGCTGGTTGTTACTAAAACTACACATTCATATACTTTGCATGCTCTAATAACGTATTTAAATTTGAACATTTTCAACTATCTAATGCTAAACATTTTATCTGCAGAAATCACCAGAACTAGAGAATATGTTGCTGATCGTCTCCTATGCATGGGACGGCAATGCCTTACCAGGCAACGAATTTTGGATGGTTAGTTATTCTAGAATATCCCTAGAACCTATTTTTCCTATAATTTATATTGTTTATTTCACAGAAAATGCTGAAGTCCACCGGCGACTCTTCCACTGCCTGTAGCACGCTTGTCACTGAACTGCATAATCCACATATTAATACCGAGCTAGTGAATGGTACAAATTTGTACGTTGCTTCGGAGCAGTACGGCGTGTTGCATATTGCAGATTACACGAAAAAGTTGTTGGAATAAAGGCAAGCTTGTGGGAATAGTTGAGGCACATGACGAATTGGACCATCATACATGGAAATATTGTTTGAAGCTTTTTAATATTTAGTTAAATTATTTATGTATTTATATTGTGCAATAACTAATAATTAAGTAATATTTAAAATTATTGTTTAGTTGCATGGGCTCAATAAAAACATGATTTATTGGAAAGCTGCTTTGTTTTTTTACCGTTTTCTTTTGTAACGGACGAAAGGCTATACAATCTATTTTGTTATATAGAAAAATGTATTTTTGTCTGGCTATGTGATTCCTAAAAAGGTTTTTTGTTTATCTACACTCCGCTGCTCTTTTATTTTTGATACCGCCGATTCAGTGAATTTTCTTTTTTATTTCCTTTACTCAACTTCCGCTTCCTTCTCGTAGGCAACGATATCGAATACGCCGTGTACAAGGGTATGACCCTGACCGGGCTGGTACAGCGTCTGCTTACAAAACGTTGTGTTGCCTTTCTGGGGCCTTCTGATAAATATCTATTGCTAAGTGGACACCAAGGATACGGCGGGTTTCACGATGTCGGCACGGCTGCTGAACGTGGCGAGTTAACCTTAAAAAATGTGCTTAGCTATGACGAAATAAAGGTGAGAAAAACGCTTTAAGCTAAAACCAAATTAAGTTTCCGAACTCAACTATTGCTTTTTCACAGCTCTCCGCCTTTCTCTCCATCTCATCGCACACAGAATTCCTCAACGATGGCAATCGCCACAACTGTGGCATTATTGAAGCAGATAAAACGAAAATTGAGCCAGCAGGCGTTATCATTGGCATGATCGGTGGACGCTTCGAGTCCATTGATGTTATGGAATGGCAGGATATAATGATAACGCCCACGCAGAATACTGTAGACCGCGGCTACGGTTACAAGGTGCATGAGGCTGAACATGCAAACAATCGCATTGTTGGATACCGCCAACTGTGGTCACGTTTCTACGAGGAACAAGACAAGCTTTACGAAAAAGTGAGCGTGTTGAATACGCCGCGCTACTTTAAACTGCCATGCACCGATTTTATATTCGACAATGTTTTGATGAAGAAACGTTACGCCGTCTCATTTGACACGCTACTGCTGGAAGCAGATGCGCGCGGGGCGGCCGCAGGCAAACAGGTATATCTACATGTGGTTGGCTTTGGATTGGGTGTGTGGCGTGCTGTGCAGCATCAGTATAAGATATTTTTGAAAACTTTTGGTGAACGAATGCAGGAGCTGCTGCCACGCTTGTCGCATATAGGCGTGGTGCACTTCTCACATTTCAAAGAGAGCGCTCCCGGTGTGCTGAAGGATGGTGGCGTGATAGCTGCGGAGACGCATCCTGATGGTGGCATTAAAACGCTACTAACCGATCGCAATCCCTCGCAGAAGTTGGTGAGTATGCATAAATGGTAGATACATACATACATATGTATGTACATATACACGTAATTACGGTTACTAATCACTTTCATTTATATATTCCCTAGCCGCCGGAATTTGAAAATATGCTCATAGTGGAATCGTATGCATGGGATGGAAACGCTTTGCCAGGCAATGAATTTTGGGTGGTGTGTTTCACGAATTTAGCTTTATAGTTTTCATTTACATATATTCCTTTTTTCTTGCCTTAGGGCTCGCTAAGTGGTTCCGGCGATCCGGCCGCCGCCTGCAGCACTCTAATCACTGAATTGCATAATCCGCATATAAATTGTGGAGTGGTAAATGGTGATAATTTGCATGTGGCCTCAGATCGTTTCGGTGTTCTGCATGTTGCACAGTACGCTAAGAATATTTTGGGGTAAACTATGGATTCCGGAAACGATATAAGATGTGCACATGTAAATACACAAAAACCCCAAGAAATAATTTGCGAATATTTTATGTTTTATAAATACTTACATTTTTTTAATGTCTTACAGGTATCAAACGTTAGCACAATATTTTTAAATAATTTATTATTTAAACTCACTAAATTAAATTAAACGTAAAATTTTACATAAATAAATTGGCGATCGGAATAAATAAGATAAATTTTAAATGTTAGCGTTTTTGATTTATGATACCGGAAATAATATACGCATCCTGTCAACTCTTAATTCCTCTATACAACGCGCCATCTGCAAGTTAATTCCAAGAGACGTTTTTTATCATTTGTTCACAAACGCCATTGGCTCTCAAACCAACCATAGTATTAGGTCTGTTCCACACGAGTCCGTGAGATCCCGCGGGTGAGATACTTCGCCGACCTAAACGGGGTTAGATCGCCGAAACAACAGCCCTTGATCGGGTAAAACCCGAGTCATTCCGGTACGTAGAACCGGCTGTCGTGGGAAAACCCGACAACCCCAACGGCCTTGTCGTTGTGGACCAACCCCACAGAAGCTGCACGCTTCCTGGGGCTGCCGTTAGTGGAACTTGACGACAACGACTGAGATACCAACCGTCCTGGGCGGGGTTGTTGTAGCCGCTACAAAAACAACAGCATCCCACGGGTGCCCAAAACAACCCAGAAAGCATTCCTCACGCTAGAAAAATTGGTAATAAAGAGCGAGTACGTTCCACTTTTGGATCATAAATGTCTTCTTCTTCTTGCCCGAAACAGTCCGAACTTTTTTCCGGACACAAATGTGCAAATTCAAATTGTCATAACAGCTGTTGTTTGTTGAAATTCGAAAGTAAATTTTATAAATACATAAATAAGAAGTTTCAGAAAATGTAGCTATTTGCTAATTTTATTCGCCATATAAGATAAATACACATAAAATCATTGTTTAGAACTGATTTGTTGATTCTGCGCACGAAATGTGGTTTTTTGCGTTCCTCACCCTCTGGGCAATTTTGGCAGGTGTTGACATATTGTTGACACTTTTGAGAGAGTAACTTAACTTTACGCTATAATTACCGAAATAGCCCGGATAGCGTGTGGAACAAAGCTATTGCTACAATGTCTACTAAACTGTTTGGCTCGCCTCCATTTTTTGTTAAGATTTGCCAATGTTGCAACCTTGAAAATTGCATTGGTACACATCGGAGTCGAGGAAGCGCATTGAACAATAATCTGAAGGAAACCTGGCAGTTTAAGGGAAATTGTAATCCTTGCCATTTACGGATCTACGGATATAGATCTAACAATATCCAAAAAAAAAAAAAGAAAATTGCATTCCAACCATATTGAATGCAATTTGCTGATTGCTGCTCGCAACTCTGTGGATTTATGTTTATTACCAATTTTTCCACATCTAATCCAAATGTAATTAAAATATATCACCATTTAACCAAGCAGTGCCAATAAATTTACCATCAGTGAAAAAATAATAAGTTAGTGCAATTGTGTTAGCTATAGCCAGCCGGCGACTTCACTCACTGCACCACACCATAATGAACATTACACGTATTCTAGGACAAAATAACAAGATCTATCAAAAATTTGGCGACTATTGTATTACAGAGACGGAACCGAATCAATGCAGTATCATTTGCTGCTTCTGTCAGGAAGAGCACCACAGCGAAAACGCTTTTTGGGCGCACGTACAACAGTTGCATGCCTATGCGCCAGCGCGGCTCTGCATAATGCGCGATACACCAACGTTAACTAGCTGCGAAGGTGACAGCGATAGCCATGACAATTCGCCAATTGGCAATGACTGTGAATCCACCTTGACCACTGCCAAAACGACTGCGCTTCAACCGGTAGCGAATGATGCACCAATGTACGTGGAAGCTGAATACTTGGAAAGTGTTGTACTAAATGATCCAAATACGCTTTTGGAACTAACCGGCATCAGCAATACGTTTCTCGATTTTCAAGAGCAAAAACCAAATGGAACGAAGGGCGCAATAGAGACTGGCAGCCAAGAAAAGGAAAATGTTCAGCAGGGTACATGAGCACGGCATAAATGTTTATAAATACAAGATTTCTCAAATAAAAATATTTTCAGCTGAGCGCAACCTTTCGAACAAAGAAGATAAGTCGCCGCATTTAAAAGGCATACGAAAAATCATAGATATCGATAAACTCACACCGAAGCAATTGCTAGAGGATGGCGTTCTGTTAAAAAGCCTTTTCCAGCAAATGCAACGCGCCAGCAATGAGTTTAAATATAAACTCAACAAGCTTACACAGGCCGTACAGCTAATTGAAAGTGAGCTGAAGAAAGAACCTGGTAGTCGTACGCTCAAGCGCTACATGAAAATCATACCAGATCAGCCATTTACCAGCCGTGATGAAGTGCTCATATTGGACGATGAGCTGCATCATAGCAAAGAGATGCGTGACGCATTGGTAAGTAAAATATTTAAATGCTTACGGTACTCGACACTATTATTGCATGGTTTTCGAATTCTTTAGCACGAAGAAACAATCGCATTAGCTGCTGAGAATGCAGACGTTTTCTGTCGCATACTCTGGCGTTTTATTATGACAGATGAGGTGTCGAATCAATTCTGCTGGCGTGGTGTTGTAAATGCCGACAAAGTTATAAAATATCCAATCAAGGATATGACCATGATGGATGTGTTTCAAGGTACATTCACACATGCAAAATTTTGATATTTTCACTGAATTTAAAACTGTTTCTCTTGCGCAGGAGTTTTTCGTGAAAAGTTTCCTGGCCAAACGCTACATTTTTTCAAGGATCGCACAATGACCTACTTCAATAAAGCCCACGAGCGTCTGAAACGTAAACAGTTGAACAAAGCTGATGTTAATGGTGCGGAAAGTAATGGCTGTGACTTGGTCTGTACCAAGGTATTGTCAAAGGCACAGGAAAGTGATTATAAGCGCGCCCGTAGTGATGCGGATAAGATTGAAGATGGTGTGGACTCGGTATTTGAGGAAGTATTTTGTGAATGAAAAACAGCTGAAATATGTCAGGATTTTACGGTACATCAAATCAAAGTGGAGCTGCATATAAGATTTATACCAAGTCGGTGTTGAAACCCAGACATTAACTTTCCAGTATTTTCAACTCTAAAAGCCTAGTAACAAATACGGAGTAAAAGACTTGAATTACATTTTTGATCTCAGGAGATATACATATATACATACCGTCGTTTAAAGTACCGCAAAACCGCGTAACTGACATTTGCTGCCAAAAATTGGGTTTGCTCACACAAGCTCTTGGATCAATCCGTATCCATTCGTCTTGAAATATACTAGCATACAATATACAGAAATTTAAGATAAGAAGAAAGAGAATCATTTTGAAATATGGGTGTTCTTACTCTGTAGAAAATAATTTATGCAACCTCACATACGCAGTTTTGCATTTTGTTGATACGCGGTTTTGTACTTTAAACGATATGTATGTATGCAATTAAACATTGTGTGTAATTTATAAGCGATTCTCTCCAGCCTATGTAGGTGAATCAAATAATAACCTAAAAGACAAACACACATTTGTATAACAAAAACAATATACATATAAACAATAAATCTACACTATATTTTAACATACTTAAGTCTACCATTTTCTTACTATTTCGCTGTTCTTTTAAAACCGTTATTTATAATTATACAAGTAAAAGAACTTATATTTTTTTGTACTGAATCGGGGCAAAATGAATTTATTATATGCTAAAGTCTTAAAAACAATAATTGTACCATATTGCGTTTGATTTGTTTGCAATCAAACTTTTATATTAGCATTTTACTACAGCATGTGCTTACGCATACCTCAATGTAAAATGTTATATACATACAAATACGTAAGTAATAGAAAAATTAAATGTATTTTTATACATACATACATATGTTTTTCAAAAGAAATTGAATCGGTTAATAACAAAAGGAAATAGGTCAGCATTTTTCCGGTATGGCAAATTTTATGCAATTCAACAGAGCTCCTTAAAACCTACCGAACTGCATTAAAATTTACATATCGAAATGATGCTGACTTATTTCCTTTGGTAATTAATCGAATGAATTGCTTAACACTAAACGAAAAGTAAAACAATATTTCTTATCACTAAACTTGAACATGCACAAAATTCTCAAGAAAAATAAAATTACATTCTTTAACTTCAATATATTTTTCCTTGTTAAAATCCAAAATAACTAATTTAAACTTATTTATCCGTTTTCAACAACACTATTCTTTCTTATAATCTGTCCTATATGTTATTTTTACTAAAAAATAATAATATTGCAACTATTGCAAGTGACGCAAAAAAATATATGGAAATATAAACCAAAAAATATTAAAGTCATAACTCAACAAAAAAAAGAAAATTTGCATTATTGGCGCACTGTTTTAGAAACGCTGCGGCACTAGTCCTTTGGATCCTTTCAGAAAGTGTTTCTTCTTGCGATGCGTTGACAGATTACACGATTGTTTGAACGAGGCGCCACATAGTTCACACGCAAAACGTCGCTCCTTACTATGCACTGCACGATGTAACTCCAAACGTGATTGGTATTTGAACTTTAGGCCGCAGGTCTCGTAGTCGCATATGTACCAACGCTCGCCATCCTCTGAAGAAACAGCACTGCTGGCACTAGCCGTGGTGCTGTTCGATTCTTTTGGCATTTCATGTGACATCAATGCCGCAGCGGCTACAGCGCCCGGCATGCCCATTGTAGGTGGCAACGCCGGTGCACTATGTACAATGGCGGCTGCATATGAACTTACTGGTGTTACTTGTGGCAGTTGGTATAAGGCAGGTGCAGCTGTGCTCACCTCAACTGTTTGATGCGCAACACTAGCGCCACCACCAGTGCCAACACCTCCCCCACCGCTATGTAAACTTTGTGCAGGTGGCGGTGGCGGTGCCAAGGATATCCCATGTCTTATACTAGGCGGTTCTACTTTTATATCAATTTCGACTGCATTCGGTTCAATTGCGCGCATTTCGGTATAGTCCTTTGGCTCAGGTTTTTCCTGTGAATTGTCTCCATGATCAAGCACGCCACTAGCACGCAACTCTTCTTCATTCACTTTTCGATACAATGGCAAAGGCATAAGGTGTGCTGCTGTTGCTTCAGTTTCTATGTAATTGCGTTGTGGTTCTTGCTGTAGTTTTTGGAGGGAAGTGCGCGAGTGTAAATATATATATTTTTTTGTTTTTCTACAACTTCAAAGACGCGTATATAGTGTTGCGCCACTTACCTGTTTGAAACCCAAGCCGTGCATGAAGTTGTGTTCATCTTGTATATGCTTCCAAAATTGATCTTGTGTCTGTAACTCTTCCTGGCACACTTGACAAACAATCCAGAAGCTCGCATCACCCGACAAACAAAATTCACCCAACTTCGTATATATTTTGTTATTTTTACTTAAAATGCGTGGGAAACCCATTTTACTAACACCACCACCAAAATTTTACTAATTTTATTTAAAAATATACACAAATCAGGAAAAATATCAAAAAATTTGTAATTTCGTTGCCACAAATATTTTTGTTTATTTCCATTGACATTTGGAATCAGCTGTGTGCAGTGATGCCATATTCACTATTTTAACTGTAAATTTCAGTTTTTTAAGACAAGCTTACGCCCGATTTACATGATTCAGGTATTTGACAGCAATTCTTGGTCATTCTCTTTTGTGTTTTCTATTTGCTTTAACACGATTCAATTCTATTGAATTCAAGTTTTTGGTTATTTAAGGCCTGTATGCAGCTCTCAAGAAAAGCAAAAACTCCATATAAAATGACGTACAAGAAATGGCTAAGAAATTTTCTTGAGTCAAATTTCCTTAGAGCAGTACGCATTCTTAAGAAATTTACTACGCTTTCTACTACGGTTTTCTAAAGTTTTTTGTGAAAAAAGAGCACAAGACAACTCAGGTTTGCAACAGAAATATATGCCCGTTCCATTATTTCTTGAGGAAAGAGTGAGGCAACAGGCTGTGAGGTATCAAAAATGTCAAAATTGCTTGGACACACACGCGAAATAATGGCAATTTTTCTTGACCGTTTTCTTGAGAGCTGCATACAGGGCTTCAAATGGGAAACCACGAAAATGTCAAAAGCAAAGCAAGAGAGTTGAAACGTCTATAATCGTCTATTTACTTCTCAGTAAGTCTGTGTATCGAGAGTACTTTCTCCGCCTCATCGTGAATTTTGCCGCAGACCTAGCGTACTGTAAAAATGAAGTTTCGACATACTTGATAAGCTTCCAAAGAGTTTAGACATGCGCGGATAAAACTGGAACAAGATAAACAAATTCTGTTAAAATTCTTTAAAATATATATATTTTTTTTAAATGTCTGTATGGTGAATTGTGTTGTGTGCGAGTCGCGGGGCAGGTACTCGCGATGTGCAGACATACTGTGTGGTGTATTTGGCGTATTACCAAAAAAAAGTACATAATAAGTGACAAATAGTTATAATTGTAGCGAAAGTGCGCAATAGGGGCGTGCCTTCTCTTTTGCCCTAGTGCGTTTTTTGGTTGGATGAAAAGATCAGCAGTCAGATCTTCAACTAGTTGTGGTGCGTGAAAAACTTGTTGATCATCGATATTTAAACTAGTTTCTTTCCGTACTTAGTTTCTACGCACGCCTTACAACATCAGACAGGCCTGTTACGTGTTTTTTTTTTATTACCTCGCTAGTCTATAGTAGAAATTTTTTTTTATTAAATTTGAACGAATAATTAAAAATATCTCTTAAAATTTTAACTTTAATTGTAGATGAATTGTTTATGTTTGTTTGGTATAATTAAAACCCGTAATTTTCTGAAACTCCCATTGTTTTTGGAGTTTGCAGTTTTTTTGTTGAAAATTAATTTTTTCTTGGTAATCCAGTTTTGTTTAAAGAAATCTGGCAACACTGACCGTATGACAAAACGCAGTGTTGCTCACAAAGCGAATAGAGACTGCTAAACATAGCACGGTTAAAGGCCTGTATGCAGCTCTCAAGAAAACGGTCAAGAAAAATTTGCCATTATTTTGTGTGTGTGTCCAAGGAATTTTTACATTTTTGATACTTCACAGTCTGTTGCCTCACTCTTTCCTCAAGAAATAATGGAACGGGCATATATTTCTGTTGCAAACCTGGGTTACCTTGTGCTCTTTTTTCACAAAAAACTTTAGAAAACCGTAGTAGAAAGCGTACCAAATTCTTTAAGAACTGCGTACTGCCTTAAGGAAATTTGACTCAAGAAAATTTATTAGCCATTCCTTGTACGTCATTTTATATGGAGTTTTTGCTTTTCTTGAGAGCTGCATACAGGACTTAAGAATTTTGTTGAAAAATGAATTATTTTTAAATTTCAACGGACTTCCCATTAGTTTTACCAAATAAATTAACAAGTTAAAATGGCTAAGGCTCTTTAAGATTTTGAAATAAACGATTGAGAACTAAATACAAACCAAACTCATTTTACTTGATGGCAACCCTCTTAAATACTTCCGCTTTGTAGCTGCGCATTTCCTTTTCACACAAAAGTCGTTTCTGGTATTACAATTTTGTGATAGCCATTAACAACATGCATTATATTTCAAATGTGCAATACAGCGAAGACTGTGTGATTAATGCCATGATAAAAACATAGCAAGGTAGAACCGTTCTCTCAATTGGTCGGCCATGATTTTTTTTTGAAGTTTGCCAACATTTTAAAATCATATAAAAGTGAAAATAAAAAATTGAAATTGTTCGAAATTGTTGTTGCTTGAGATTGAAAATGAAAATGTGTGTGTGAGTTTGTGAGTAAATTTAAAAATTAAATTGTTTGGAAACGTCAAGAATTTTAAAAGTGACTCTCAGCGGTTCTACCTTACTATATTTTTATCATGATTTCCCAGTAGATGATTTCAGGAGTTAAAAGCCCTTCCGAAAAGCCTTCCTGAGAGTCAAGAGGCCTTCCACTCTACATTCCTTTTTCATTTGTTTTTTTTTGTATGGAGTGGCACAAATTGAAGGGCTTCTTCTTTCGCTACCCATAGAACGCCATGTACTTATCTCACGTTAGTTCAAACGGTGAAGGATTTGCATTGACAAAACATGACTTGACTTGCTCTAAAAGGCCATCATCTCTATCAAAAACACACTTCACCATCTGACGGAACAGCTTAGGTTAGGTTAAGTTCGAAAGTCGTACCAATGGAAAACTTTAGGCGAAGGCGATCTCATATGGTCATCTACTGCTGCAGAAGACCGCGAGTGTAATGAATGAAGTAATTTTCGCTTAAACTCGCTGATAAACTCCTAGAACATGCAAGTATCACGCAATTACACAAATAAAGCTATCAGGCTACAGGAATGAAGTGCTTTTACAAGCTGCCAAAAAATCAGTCATCTAAATTTTATTTTTATTAAGTGCTTTGTTTACACATTTGAATAAATTAATTTTCTTAATAAGTTTTCCCTTATTTTAATGCTAAAGAATCTTGTAATTACATAGTTATCTTCCTCAACAAATATAATTTCAGTGGCGTTCAAAATAATAGCAGTAAAATTCAAAATGATGCTGTTGGAAACTCATCTTTATTTACATATGTATTGTTAATAATTTTCATTTAAAATATGGACCGATCTACATATATCAGATACCACATAAATAAAAGTTTCTAAACTTATACAAATTTCAAAAAAAAATAAAAAATCAATCTTAAAAAAGTTGTCACAAAATTTGAAACTTTTTAATCAGAATCTTTAGAAAATTTTCGGGTATGCAGTTTTGTAGCACATTCAATTCAAAAAGTATAATAAAGTACAAGTTTGAAGTCGCTAAAAATTACTTTTGATTTTTTAGACTATTTTTTGTGGAGGGTGTTGCGCATTTTCTTCCATAAAAAAGTAAGTTTTGTTCGTGCGTTAAAGCGCAATTACCCACGGATGTAAAAACCGAGAACCTATCAGCTGACACGGTCTATCTTATGGGATCTGAGTGTTAACAAAAACTCAACACCGCATGACCGTGACGTAGACGTTGCTTCTCTCTCTCTATCAACAGCAAACTTGATACGTTCGTGGGTAACCGCGCTCTTATATGGGAGAAAATGCGCAACACCGTACACAAAAAACAAATCCTAGAAAATCAACTGAAATTTTTAGCGATTTGAAATTTTCACTTTATTACACTTAAATTGAATGTTCTACAAATTGCATACCCGAAAATTTTCTAAAGATTCTTATTAAAAAGTTTGAAATTTCGATGACAACTTTTTAAGTTTGATTATTTTTTTTTTAAATTTGTATAAGCTTTGAAACTTTTATTTATGTGGTATCTGATATAGATCGACCCATATTTTAAATGAAAATTATTTAAAATAAATAAATAAAGACAAGTTGCCAACAGCATCATTTTGAATTTTGCTGATATTATTTTGAACGCCACTTTACATATTTGTTTATTACCTTTAATCAGACATTTTATATAACTACACAAGAATGTTAAGTATTTTATTAAAAATGTAGGACTTTAATCAAAAGGTTTATATAAATTACGCTACTTCTTTCATATTATGTATACATATTTTGTGTTCCGAATTTAAATGTACTGTACTGCATGTTAAAGTGTGCAGTGATCTCATGGAAAACATGCGAAAATCTTGAATACTAAAAATAAAGTCAGCTTGAATACAAATTGGAGCATATTCATAGTCCAAATAAACTCGATTCTAAAGTTAGTGGCATCCTTTTGACATAAGTTTCAATGGAATTGCTGTCGAAAAGCTGCAACTAACTTTAGAGTCGACTATGAATGCTCCATTGCTTTTTAACAATACTTAAAATTTATAGCAGAGCTTAAAGCGTACAAAGTGCAGCCACTAAAGAGTTAAATTTGAGAAAAATGTATTTCCAGAATACATAAAATGTAAACATCGCCATCACTTAGGTCTCACAAGGTATTATATACTGTCATATATAGGCAGGTTCTGCAATTCGTTTCCGAGTGAATTTCCGACAGTCATTTTGAATTCATCCGCAGAACCTGCCTGATAGTTATAGATTGTAAAGTTGCACGACTATGTTGGTAATGCTATGAAAATACGACCTACAACAATACGACAGTATGGGCCTGTTCGAGGCACGTAATAAAAGCGGCATTACTACTGCACTGATGAAAATTTGCAACACTGTTGCAACTGCCCAACTGACAATACGCTGCTAGAAATTCACACCGAACGTGATACTTTAATAATTCGCGCAACACTGCGGTTGTGATTGCAACTCGAACAAGCCCTATACAACACCTAATGAACTCCCTAAATTATTCAACAATTAATTAAGGGCCTCGAACTTAAATAAAACAAAAACAATCTTACAAATTTTGAGTTAAACAGAATCTTGATTTTCAGGGTTCCGAACTGCTTTTTTTAAGGTTTCAATCAATCGTAACAATTTGTTTTCGTGGGAAGAAGTGTAAGTATAAGATAATCGTTTCCATATAAAAAAATGCAATGCTACTTATATATCATATATACTAAATATAAACAAACACAATCAAATTAAATCCGTCTATGTACACATGTAAGAGAAACACAATTAAGACAGCGCTCAAATTTTAAACATTCACAATACATATTCTTCCCTTACTTTCCTCTAAAAAGCGACAAAAAGTAGTAAAGAAAATGCAGAACGCAGCAAGCAGCAGAGTTGAAAGACAAAAAGTTGTATAGTCATTTCTTAGAGATTTTTATTTCATCGCATCTTCATTTTATTATTTTTCATTTTACTTTTATAATTTATAAACATTTACATAAAATGTATATTTAATTATACTACGAAGTTTTTCATTATTTTTTATTTAACATATTGTGTTTTTTTTTCTTCTTCTCTTGTATTAGCAATACGCGAAAAGAACTTTTAGGTAGAAAGCTAAGTGTGTATGTGATTTTATCATTTCATTTTTATTTATTTATTATTAAATTTTATACTACAATTTAAGAATAGGAAAAAGAAAATTGAAATGTATTAAAAAAGGCATGAAATTAGCGATGTGTGAGGAAATGCGTGCAAAAAGTACAATTAATAACGATAGCGTAGGTATATAATTAAATTTGTTCCATACAAGATGCATATTGGGTACAAATAATTGCAGTCACACAATTTTAAGGAAAACGCTTAATTCGAAATTTGTGAACATTTTTAGTGTAAAAAAATTACAGGAAATTGTTTTACATATATATACATACATATATATGTATGTTAAAATTTAATTGGGATTGAAATTAATTAAACTATTTAAAATTAAGTAATATTTTTTAGGGAAGCGGGCAGTTGCGCTTTAGTTTTTTTGTTTAAATTGAAAATATTAATAGAACACGCGTACAATCATACATACATACTTGCTTAACAACAGGTCTACAAATATGCCTTTTAAGTGAGTTTGCAATTACGTGTTTCGTTTTTAGAAGAACACAAATTACAAAATGTACATTAATTACACATGTATACATTTGGTTGTTAAAAAGTACATACATATACATAAGTTAAATCTAAGTAAACACGCTTTTCTTTGCCTTGAATTATGCAAATTTTGTGTGAATTTTTTCTACTTAGTGTTTTTTGTTTCTTAGCAAAAGTCAACTGTAAATGTTTTTAGTGGAGCGAGAGGGTATTTTTTATTAAAAGGAAGTTTTAGAATAATTAATAAAAAATAATAATGAAAATAAAATGTAAAAAAAAAACTAAAAATTAAGAACTTTATAAAATGCCATAAATGTATAATACGTATAATAAAAAATTGTATGTATAAAAAACACATAAATTATAAAAATATGTTAGGAAGTATAAAATAAAATTATAAGGAAAGGTTAAAAAATATACAAAGTTAATAAAATGTAACTTATGTAGTAAAATATGAATGAATAAGTTACATCAAACAAGAAAAAATGGAAAGATTTACCAAAATTTTACCCTTTATATGGTTTTAATATCTGAAAATTTTTAGAGATAAGTATTTCACTTTTGTGGTGCTGTTTTTTTTTGGAAAAGCAATTTCTTGCTAACTGCTATCGGCTTAATTTTGATCATCAATATACACATGTACACATTTCTCAGCAAACTCTGTGCATTTGCAAAAATTTCAGTTTCACGTTCGAAATAGATTTTTGTACAATTTTTTTATATTGAAAGTAGTGAATTACAAGAATTTTAATCGACATGTAGCTCATTTATTGGAAGTGTCATAATTCACAAAAAAAAAATTAAACTTCCATTAAAAATTGCAGAAACCACCACACACAAACCGCCACATCTTCTTCTAAGTTGTGTAAAAATTTCATAGCTGTACTTATTAACAATAGCACAATCAGAAGAAAATGTGCCTTCATTTTTACTAGCTGTAATCTTTAAGCCCCTTTTTTGACGAGTTTTTGATTTTTTTTTTTAATTATGACACTCTTGCAGCAAACTAACGATATGTAAAAGACCTCGATCGACCCTAAGCCTGAAGCAAATAAGAAAATTGTTTCGGAATTTGAGCACTAATAAACCTTCTCAAAAACGAGATATTTTCTTTGCTAAAACTTAGAATACAGCTCTTAAGAAAAATCAGAGGAAATATTTTTCATAATTTTTTTAAACTTTCTTGAAGGAATAAATATACAAGGGTCGTATGAATAAAAACTAAGCAAATTCTTTTTCTTAAATTTCAGACCTTTTACTGCAATTTATTTGAATAAATCGATATCTTCTTGAGAGCTGCAAACTGATCAATTTTTCCGTTTTTCTAGAGCTGTATTCTGAGCTTAAAGCATCATAAATAAATTCAACAAAAACAAATTAATTTTTTTAACAAAAATTAAGTTTATTTTTTGAACACATATCGCTTAAAAATTTCCAAAATAGGAAAAAAATTAAATAAAAAATACCCTCATACAACCACCGGTTCAATATTGCAATATAATGGCATTTGGGTTACTATGCAAGAAGTACATATCAGAAGTTTCTTTGTTTTTTTTTCTTTTTCTTTTTTTACAAATCAAAAAACAGTTACAATTTATTTAACACAACAGCATAAAGAGAAGTTTCACAGAAGAAAATATTATCATTAAATCGAATATATATAGTATGCGCTGGTTTTGTTATGCTGCTGTCGCTGTGGCCTGCTGATAATATTCGACTTTTTGCACTGCTGCAGCATCACTTTTCTGCCAGCGACAGCGTCAAACTGCTGCTATTTTTTTTTCATATTTTCCACCCAAATTTGCTTGCTTATTTGTTGTTACTGTTGTTATTATTGCTACTACATGCGTTCACAAAAAGGTGTCTTAAATAGTGTTGTGCTCGTTTGCTCGCTTGTTGTTTGTCGGTTTTTGTTGTATGAAGCAACACGATGATGCATTTTTTGTGGTTGTGTGAAGCTAGAGTTCATGTTTTGTGTTCGTTTCTTCGTACTCATTTGTCAACATTTTCTAATGGATTTCGTTCCTACGCCTGTTGGTCTGCTTAACGTGCGCGCTCTTCACCTTTTTCTCGATATTTCTTCAATTCTTATACTCAATTATAATTGTGGATGGAAATATTTAGTTATGTCTTTTATAATTTTCTAACTTTTTTTAGTTCGCATACAATTTTTCAACTTCCATTCAAGTTTGGTCCAATTCTATAGAATTATTTGGTTTTTGCATCTGTTCCGAACTCTTCGTCCTCCTCTGCTTCTTCTTAGCATTTCTTTTGCTTTTTGTTTTTGTTTTGTGTATGCAATTTGCAATTTTTTTTTCATGGATTTTCATTTTGCTTGTTACTTAGACTAACAAATATATATGTGTATATATATATATAAATAATTTGCTGTTGTTGCTTGCTGATATTACTAATACAAATACGCATAAAATGTTAAATTTTACATCATTCCATTTGAGATTTGTTTTTGTTTTGTTTTGCTATTTTCTACTATTTTCTGCATCTTTTACTGAATCTGCGAAATTTTTCCCTTACAACATTTTTCTGTTTGTCTTTGTATGTTGGGGCGTGAGGTGTGTTTTGTGTGTTGTGCACGTAAAAGTAGTAGTGAATTTGTTGTTGTTGTCGAGTCCATGAAATGATGAATTTCTAAATGGTGTAATCTTGCAGCAGATCTCATGTATATGGAATGAGCTTGCAAAATAGCATGCACTATCGACAGCCACTCCAGAGTTCCAAAGCTTTTAGATGGGATTGTGTGTGGAAATTCATTGGGAACCTTGTTTCTCATTGCTTGGTGGCATGAAGAGCGGCAACAATAACCTTGTAGTATGTTGTAAAACGACTTACATTCCACAGCCCAAACCGTCAGCATGTGGATAGCGGCTGCTTGCGTATTAATTGAAATATACTGCAGACGAAACAAATCATTTAGACAAATTTTCAGATTAAGTTCCACATTCCAAATCTTTGCTACTCCAGATAAGATTGCGCTTGCTTGAATTTAACCACACGAAAACGTAAATGCAGCATTTAGGAGAACTTTCAAGTTAGGTTGCACAATCCAAGCTCATACTTCTACTCACCAGACTGCAGTGTCTAATTTAAAATACGCCCAAACGGAAAATCAGCATTTAGCAGTACTTTCAGGTTAGGTTCCACAATCCAAATCCATGCGAATCCAAATTGAACTTTGCCAGTAGACTTTTAAGTACGCCAAAAACGAAAAGCAGTAGGCTCACCGATCCAACTCCACAATTTTCCACGTTAGACTACAGTTTTATGCACAAAACAGCCGAAAGTGAAAAGCAACCCACTACACAGCCATTTAAAGAAGGCTCGGCTCCACAACCCGAATTCACGCTACGCCGGTTCGAACTGCTTAGATATGAGCGCTGCTTACAGTTGAAATTAAGTAACTATTTAAGTAGGTTACGCTTCAGCTTAAGTTCCACATAACACATGTACGCATTTGCGTGTTGGGCGAGCAAATTTTAATTCTCAAAACGTGAAATTTTTCTCAAGTACGAAGGTATGTATGTTATGCCAAGCTCAGGTTGGCTGCAACAAATTTTCAACCAAGCCAATTGGTTAGCATTTTGCGCTAATTATTTAAGTGTTAATTGCTTTATTCTTGCCATCGCTTAGCTTGTATACTCCTTTCGCTGTTCCAGCGCTTCAAATTAGCCGTTAATTAACACTATTAAGTCGAAATTAAACCACACTCAACACCAATTTGTGGAACGTGTTATTTTGCCAATGCCATTTCCCTGTGCTTTTTTTAATGCCTCTGCGCTGCTTTGTTCAGTTCTCAATTCTATTGTTGATAATATTACTGCGACTACTGTTGTTGTAATTTTTTGTTGCTTTGGGATTTTTTCCTCCAATTTAGTTGATTTCTTTCTCTACTATGAATTCAATTGTTTTTGTATTTTGTTTTTTTTTTTGTAAATTTTCCATGTATGTGTACGTGTGTAAGTGGTATTTTGTTGTTGTTGCTGTTTGTTATTTTTTTTGTTATTGTTTAACCGCTCTTAAATAATAAAATTGCCACTTGGCCTAAGTAGAAGTAAATAAAGTGACGCGTCTCATGTGTGACATACGATCCGAAGTTTCGGCCCACAATACAATGCCATGTGGGATTGTATTTCTTGTCGAATTCCTTCTTAATGTAGGCGGCGATATCCTGCAATGAAAATGAGAGGGCATAAAAACAAAATTAGTTTCGCAAAGAAATTTTACTATTTTAAATTTACTGATTTCAATTTAATTCTTTTAATTTAATTTTTAAAATTTAATGAAATAAATTTAAGCTTTTTCAATTATTTTAAATAAATTTTAATTTTTAACTATTTAGTTTAGATAATTCATTAATTAATTTTTTTTTGTTTAAGATTTTCTTATTAGATTTTTTAAATTAACATTTAAAAGTTTACTTTTCATTTTTATTTATTTCATTTCTTTAAATTTTTATTTTTTTAATTCTTTTAATTGTTTAAAGCCGTATTTTAATTTCTTTTAATTACAACTATCTTAATTTTTTCATTAATTTTTATTTATTTTTTATTCTTTTTATTTGTTAAATAAAAATTTTTATTTCTTTTTAAAATTTCTTAAATTTTAATTAAATTTTTGTTAATTACAATTTTTTCGTGTGAAACGGCTTACCCTTAATTTTTTAACATTTTTACATCTTTTTTAATTTTTAACGTTGTTTTATGAATTGAACTCATTTTTTTTTTATTTCTTTAACTTTTTCAATTTTGTCCTTTTGTAAATTAAATTCTTACTATTTCTTTGAAATCTTTATTTATTTTTCTGTAAACTTTTTTTCTAGTTCAAATTTTTACTATTGTTTCTAATCTTTCTAATTTTTTAGTTTTTAATTTTATTTATTCCAATTTTCATTTTTTTTATCTGATTATATTAACAAACGTGGTTGCATTCTACTTAGTAGTTATTTTTCTTGAATTTTTTTATATACAATATTTTTAATTTTTACTTTTTTGTCTACTTCTTTCATATTTTTAAAATTTCTTTATTTAATTTGTAACAATGTTATTGCGCTTTGTACCACGATTTGTTTGTTAGGAAAAATGGAAAAAGCAACAAAGCCTAAGTGGTAGAAGTAATTATTATTATTTATTCATTTAACATTTTCATTGTTTTATTTTATTAGTTCATATAAGAATATTTAAGTCAGATTCTAATTCGAAGGCTTAGATTAAAAAAAAATCCAAATTGATACTTATTTGAATACTAATTAAAAAAAAAAAATATTCCTTTTCCATCTTATTTTACTTCTAAATTCCCGCATTTTATTAGACTACTTCATTGACACTGCATAAATTCTTATAAAAACTTAGCATCGCTGCTTTTGAAGTCATTTTAAGCTCAGGTAAAGCGACATTTCTACGCCATTTAAGCCTAAAAATGCATATTTCCGCAAAAGCGAATGCGGAAAAAAACAACTACGGACACGGAGGGCGGTACGGCACACGCACACAAATAAATATAGAAAAAATACGAAAGGATAGATGAAGAAGAATGAAGGCCCACTAACCCAGCAAAAAAAATAAACGACTATCGAGAAAAAATATAACGCTTAATGCATGTGTGCGTGTGAAAAAAAAACATGCGCATACAGCGACTATGTAAGCGAATACAATTTTCATAGAATAAAAAAAAAATAGAAAAAATCATTAGGCTAAGCTTAGACAAAACAAAAATTGAGAAACAAATTTAAAAATAAAATAACTAAAAGGTCATTGTCAGTTTGCTTTTGTTGGCCACTGTGCGCTGGTATTGGCATAAAGCTGCTACATATGGTGCAAGTGATTACGGTGTAGTGCAAGGGTATTTTATTGGCGTGCGAAACGAGGTAGAAATAGTAAACAATTATGTAGCTTGTAGGCAGGCACTTAACGAGTTATTATTTAATGCGCCTTAAAATAGACTATACTTGTATCAAAGGCTTAGCGTTTCACATTTAGCTACACACTTTTTTGTGTTAAAAGAATTTGATGCGATAATTAGAGCAAAGTAAGTATTACGCCAAAATAATAATAACAAAAAGTGGATGTAATTTAGGAATGCGCGAGTTTACTTGAGGAATAAACTTCCGTATCGGTTATCCTTTGCTGATTTAAAAATCGATAGCAAACTAAAACATTTATAGCATGTATGTATAATTTATTGACCCATGTCAACGTGTATTTGAAGCGCGTGGAAACTATGTATAAATACCAGCGTAATTTGAACAATGAAAAGCTGCACGCATGGTGGCAAATAGTGTGTCAAAACAAAATATTTACTAGAATTTATGGTAAGTAATCAACGTAGAAAAAAATGCACATTAATATTTATTGTAACGATTTTTTTTGTTTGCATATCATAGCTACTATTGGTGAATCAGTACTTGGATGAGTGTATTGCATGCCAGATGTTCTAGACGGTTTACAACTGAGTTTTTTTTTGTGTGTATAAATGTGTATGAAAAAAATAAACAGCATTGAATACCGAAAACTTCACCCGCTAACCCAGATATTGAACAAATAGTAAATAAATTACCAAGCACTGTTTGTAGAACAAATAGGAAAATAACAATGGAGATTTGTATCAAACCAGACAGAAATTCGCTTAAGTATGTGCATTGTATATACTTGCGCATGTATTTAGATACATACATACATACATGTATTTATATATTGTGCATGGAATTTTTCCACCTGACTGTGGTGTCGGTTAACAATAGAAGGTTTTTTTTACCTTCCTTTTATTAGCTCGGGATGTAACTATGTAATATTGATGCGCCTAAAAGATGCAGCGATTTCTATTCTCAAGTTACATACCTGATGACAGTACGAATGGCAATTATAATAGGTTTTTTAAACTATAATTTTTTAACCATACGCTGAGGGAGGTAATGCATAGTAAAATTGATTACTTTATATTAACTTATCGTTGGTATTTAAAAAAAATGTATTTTCATTCCAAAATTTAGCACGCGCGTATGTACATATATGTAAGTGACATACAATGGCGGAAAAATTATATAGGGACACGACATTAAAAAAAAAAATCCATATTTTTCTTATATTTAATATTTATTATTTTTTTTTATAAAAGTGTAGCGCATTATCTAACAAAAACCGTATAAATTCATATTTCAAACTTTGTGCAAAATGTATAAAAATTCTGGAAAATTGCATTTAAATTTTCAACTTTTTAATAATTTTTTTTTTTTAAATTTTTTTTTTAATACGCAGTTTTATAGCCCATTAAATTTTAGAAGAATAAAGTGCAAGTTTGAAGTTCCTAAAAAATTTGCTTTGATTTTTTGATCATTTTTCTTCTGAATGTAGTACGCATTTTATTTTATTTTTTTTTTCAGTACAAAAAAAAGTTGCCGAACATAAGTACTTTGTATG